TCCAGCAAATTATCCACCACCCTTGACATTTTCTCCACTTTCTTATAACAAAGGTTTTTATCTATGTACAAGGCCACACCACCTCCCATCTTATTCTCTCTGTTTGTGCATACCAAGTCATAGCCATCAAGGTCAAAATCCATTCCCCTTACATTATTCATCCATGTTTCAGAAATAGCAATTATATTAAAAGAATGTGTCAGACTACTAAGATAATGTTTTATACTCTGAAAGTTTGCGTATAAACTTCTGCTGTTAAAGTGAATTAATGATAATTTGTTTTCAGTCTTGACATTGCTGTTAAACTGTTCATCCGTGTAATACTTGCAGTTATTTTCAGAGTTTTTTTAAAAGTTTTTTTCAGGGTCAAAGTCATCGTCCGATTCATGATAATGTTGTTCAGTATCTCCAATTGTGTTCAGTTCCAGATCCAATCCTCAAAAACTATTAACCTCTGTAGCAAATCACTTGCCTCATTCCGTACGTGGGTCATACTTGTTGTTGGTTCCTGCTAATTGTTAGTTCCAACACTCATTTGCCCTCGCAGATATCAATATACCTGTGTGACTTGGATACTGTATTTTCTCAATCCCTTGGAAACCCACCATAATGGGCTGTGGTTTTCTGAAACAGGGCACAGATACAAAGGCAAATGCAAGTTTAGGCTCCAGGCAAAGGTGGAGATGGGTTGTCCAACAAATTTTTGCAATTTTGGTGACCAGGGGTGCTGCCACATGTAGTGCACATCCAGGTGCAACATGAAGAAGGGGGTGGAATATTGGCACACTCCAGTTAGTGCAAATAGTTATGTTACAGGTAAATTAATTTAATCTCTGCAGTTATTCTCCTCTGTGTATTTGAAAAACTCATACAAGCATAAACAATTGTACATGCAAAATATCAGTCCTTAAATATCCAGTTGGGAAAATGAAGCAACCCCTATATCTTTAAACAAACAAATACCAAATAAGGTTAGTGGAATTTTGCTATTATTTAATTTTAAAGGTATATTTTGACACATATATCAAACTGTAGTAGATCAAAAAAGTGCTACAAGCAGAAAGAGGATGCTCTTGATATAACCGAAAGGTTGCTGTGTGTGCTCCTCTGCCAAGTAAAGGCACAAACAATTATGGTCCAAAATGAGCACCACAACTGCACTGTGCCACCTAATTATCATAAACACAGCCTACGCTGCACCTTTTCTATCACAGTGGCGCAAACATGCTCATTTAGTGCCAGGAAAATTGTCGAACAAGCAGAGATGCAAAAAATAGACCTGCACCTGCAGGAAAGTGGAGCCCATTGTGTTGTGAAGCATAATCAAGAAACTGTTATGATGCTGTGTAACATTTATTTTACCTTATTTTATCATGTCCATTATTGCTTTTATCTGTGGCTTCTCTTGGGAAATGTGCTTTCAGATTTGTACTGACTTTGTACAGTGAGATCTGCATTGTGAGAAAAAATACAAATAATTGGAAGTGTAACCTGAGAAAAACTCTGTTGACAGGCTTTTTTTTTTTTAAAAAATCCAGTTTGTGCACATCCAGAATGACAAACGACTGTTTGTTTTTTTGTGACAGGCAGCTAAACTCCCCATGTCTATCATCATTGTTGGAGTTGGCCAGGCTGAGTTCGATGGTGAGAACAGTAACTAAAGTTCTTCAGGGGGGGGAAAAAAAACCCAGTGGAAACCAATTTGTTGACTGCACCTGAGATGGTTTGTTTTAAACTAACTAGGGCTTGTCACACAAGCATAACAACTATTCAATCAGTACACAGTAAAAAAATATTTTTTCTTGACTGGAAATTAGTGTGCTCATTTAGATACTAGAGATTATTTTGTGATAAAACCTCTTTTCTCTGTAGCCATGGTGGAACTGGATGGTGACGAGGTCAGGATCTCCTCGCGGGGGAAGCTGGCAGAGAGAGACATCGTACAGGTGAGATGATTTATTCTCAGCATGTCATGGGAAGAAACAGCTTATTTTCCAAAGGCACACGTTCTGACAGTTATTATTTTTGCCTCATTAGTGACCATGCTGATAAACGGCAATGATGGTTGTTTGATTCTAAAGTAGGACAATTCAACAACTATGGGGCAGATTGTTCCGGTCCTGAGAGGTCCTTTCCTCTTCCCTTTCTCTTTTTCTCTTAGTGAAGCTAAAGTGTACACGTCTTAGTAGCATTGAAAGTGACAACCTAGAGCTGCATTTCTCCTCTTTTGGTAGAGGCTCCTTCTTACCCCACACCTTGACCCTGTCCCATACCTCTCGCCCCACTGAACACAGAGACCAAACTTATCAACCTTCCATCAAACTCCCAGTGAAAAAGCTGACCCCTCAAACATCAAAGTAGCTGAGTGTTACTGGGATAAGTAACTGTAATGTAATGCCAGCAGTCTGTTTACCACAATCTGCCCTTTGTATCACAGTGAAAGAAACAACATAAACAAGCAAATCTCATAGTAGTTGTCTCCTATTCAGTAATGAGGAAAAGTGAAAAGGAGTTATATCGATGTAACTTCACTTATTTAAGCAAGTGCATAGTCAATGTTGTTACTCTGTGCTGTATATCACAAAGCAA